GTGAATAGACCCCTATCTGTCCCCAGTTATTTACAAACACTGGAGTGATCAGACGATCACTCCAGTGTTTGTTCCGCACACACAGAGGATCGGTAAATGTAACAGAGCCGCTGTCATCCTGAAAATGACAGGATGACAGCGGCTGCTCTCTCCTGCCCGCTCGGTCGTTCTGACAGCCGGCAGCGCCCCCTCCCTCCAGGCTTCAGCAGACAGTTTCTCCTCGGAACCGAGGACAGCACTGAGGAGGGAGCGATGTCATGTCGGATGGCCAGCAGTGAGGAGGAGAGAAGCCGCCCTGCGGACGAGCTGTGTCGGCCACCTGGCACCTTTATTGCCATGGCGCCCTGTGCGGTCGCACAGCTCGCACACCCCTAAGGCCGGCCCTGGGTCTGGTAACTGACCTGCACTATGCAATAGGAATTAAGAGCTTTCACTCTCACTTTCCAATCATCTGCTTGTTCCAGGTCAGTACATCATAAAATATTGAAGCCAAAGACAGCCAGGGAACTAGTATTTTCAGAAGCAGGGGAATAATGGCAGCCCCTATATTCCTGTTGGTACATTGCTGACCATACCATTTACCATCCTGAGCTTTACTAGACTTATATTTTTATTTTTAGGTGTTACCAATGTATTAATGGCCATAGCCATAGCTTACAGGGGCTCCCAGTCATGCCGTACAGTGATCACTGCAGGTAGCACTAATATGTCTAATAATAAAATAATGTATACAGTATATAGTTCAGATTGATAAAAAAAAATACTAAAATAGTAATAGCATTTAGCAGTATTGTTTATGCTTTTAGAATGGCAGAGGCTTAGTGGTGGGATAGCCATCAAGATGAAGTTTAGGAATTCCTAACATCCATATTGTCTTGGACCCCAATCATTACAGGCATTCCCAGTGCTTGATTAGGAGCATGATGGGCCTGGTGCTGTCGGTCGGTCAGGAAACAGCCAGGGTTGCCACCTTTTCTTCAAGTAACATCTGAACAGTCTAGGGCTGTGCGGCATTTTTTTTTTTTTTTAGAATCTACAGGAGAGAGAGCGAGGAGAGACAGCCAGGAGAGAGAGCGAGGAGAGGAAGATAGGTGAGAGAGCCAAGGGAGAAAGATAGGAGAGACAGCCAGGAGAGAGCCAGGAGAGAAAGATAGAAGTAGCAAGGGTTGCCACCTTTTCTTCAAACGACTTCCGAACAGTTTGGGGCTGTGTGGCATTTTTTTTGAGACTATACAGGAGAGAGCGAGGAGAGACAGCCAGGAGAGAGAGAGAGAGAGGAGAGACAGCCAGTGGAGAGAATGAGGAGAGATAGCCAGGAAGAAAGATAGGAGAGAGAGAGGAGAAAAGAAAGTAGAGACAGTGGGGAGAAACAGTCAGAAGAGCTAGTGAGGAGAGACAGCCAGGGAAGAGTGAGGAGAGCTAGCCAGGAGAGATAGAGCCTGAAGCAGAACCCCTGTGCCCTTCAAGACTTATCTGCACCTTGTGTTTCAGACACCTCCTTCCTCCCTGAGTTCCAGTGTCCCTTTGTGTTCTGTGCCTCCTCCATGCACTCGAGTTGTTACACCAGGAGCCCATGGTTGCCCCTGTCTGCCTGACGTCTTGACATCTTGTGTCCGGGTGACTCCCGGACAGGCGGCAATCCTAGAAGCAGCAGAGGTGGCTCTCTAAAGATGTCACCAGCACACACCAGCTATTTGTTTTGACATGAAGCGTCAATAAACAGATGTGTTTTTCACTTCAATATTGTGTGCTGGTGACATCTTTAACAAGTTTCAGTATTGGCAGCGCCATCCACAGTCACTTCAAGCACCCACGCTGACAGGGATACCCGGTAAGGAGTGCAGCAGGATTCTGAAATACATATCTCTAATTAGGTGGACACCAAATATGCCTGATTAGAGAATCGCTGGCGCCTCTGACTGATTGTGTTCAGCCCAACCGGCCTAAATTGCCATCGTGCATAGCGAGACGTTCTGGGCTGACCAGGCCTATTGTCAGTGGTGGGCCTGGAGCTAATGCTCCAGTAGCTCCTATGTTAATCTGTCCCCGCTTTTCATATCCGCAATCACCCCAAGTATTAATCTTTTTGCATTACTTGTAGACAGAGATCCCACCAATGCTCATTAAATGGATGAACCTAAATGAAATAATATAAAGTATAAAACATGGAACTTAATTCCTATCCAGTCTTCAGTACTGTCCTCCCCAGAGCTGCTCCTGGATGGCAGAGCCATTTGTTAATGGCACACAAAATGTATTAAGACTATTCATTCTGTCGCTCTTTTCTCTTATTAGGATTTGTTCCTCTCTCTTGTCTCTCAGCTGACAAGATGTACGAAATACACCAGAATAACAGTAAAAGACATCTACAGTCCCCAGCCCTTTGCATTAGCAGCAGACATCCCAGGAATATATGTGAAATAAATTAGCAAATCTTTTTCCCGACTCCCTCCACTGGGACACTGAGCATTAGCAGGACAAACCGCTTTCAATTAAGTGTCCACAAAAAAAATGGCTTTAAGCGCAATTCAGCTGGATTTATCCAAGTAATAATGTTGGAGGGAGCTTTATTGGCACTTCAGGGATTGTCTCCCATCCCTAGAGTCAAATCTCCCCAGCTGTGTGACGGTAACATGTGGTACCTGTACACGATGAATCACCTCCTCCACCTTTGCAGGGATGCTGGCTCTGCCCCCTGACTGGGTACCCTATATATAGGGAAGACCTGATCCCATCTAATCATATCTGACATAGACAGCCATGGAGATGGTCACACTCCTCTTCCTCGCCTTTCTCTCCTGTGCCAGAACTGCTAAGGCACACCAGGCAGACGAGGACTCCACTGAAAACTTCATGGAAGTGCCTCCTAGTGTCCTAGAGTCACAGGTAAGACAAGCTTCCAGCTGGACACACCACACATGTACCATTCCAGACACACAAGAGTAGAATGCGTGTATAATATATGCATATTGAAGTGTATTTCCAATTTCATGCACTTTATTTGTAGAGTGGTTACCATGATATTTAATATACCTACAGGTAAGAGAGTCAGCAGATTGCACAGGGCAGTCTGTTAATAATTATTTTCTTCCTATGGCTAACCAGTGTTCGTATATCTATGAACGTATTCAATAATATAGAAGAAAGGAAAACCTGTCGATGTTATCTCACTGTAGTTGTGTTTACATGTTTATTATGTATTATACTCATATTATGTAATATACTTGTATTTGTGCAGAATATATTAACATTATAAAGTTGTGGTGGTTGCAATACACAGAGGTGGAAAATCCAAAATGACCATTTAGCAGAATAAAGTCAGAAGAATAATGAAAATGCATTTCTGATTGGTCAGTATACATTGGCGATTATTCATTATGTGCTGTGTGTTCTTATCAAAGGAAACCTGTCACAAGAAAAGTATGAAGCCTAACCTGCTGACGGCTGTTTTGTTGTTATTGAAGCCAATGGATGAGTATATTTTCTGAGTCACTGACCCACAATAAATAGAGTGTGTAGTAGATGTTTAAGAGGCCACTGGACCTCTGCCAGCATCAGGATGGGCCCCCACCCTTCCACTTTTTATAGGATTCACTGAGTTGCAGCAGTCCCACAATGTGCATTTTCTGTTTAACTAAACAGCTCATGTGGTCTGGGGTCTACACATTCCTGTATGCAAATCGCAATTCTTAACGTCACTTGCTGCATATTTGTGGGTCAGTGACCAACCGCAGATTTCCTTTAAATAAGATCACAAATTTGTTACTACATACTTTGTATTCTGACACTGACAATGTATTTACATTAAACTAAATGTAAAGTCAAGTGTAATGTATGATGAAATGGCCATTTGTAGTTTCCACTGGAAACCCACCAGATAGAGTGACGATATGAGTGGACAATTTGGAGCCAGGGACAGAGGAGTTTGTCCCCCTATAACAGGAAGTGACAGAATAAGTAGCTTCATGGCAGGATCACCAGGTATTGACTGAAGAAAACTGCACTTTTAAAAGTAGGGACTATGTATGTTAATGGTTGCAATTCCTGAACGTTTCATATTATATTTTTGTTCAACCCCATGAATTCAAGATGAAAGTCTGCACTTCAATTGCATCATGGTTATTTCATTTCAAATCAATTGTGGTGATGTACAGAGCCAGAATTATGAAAATTCTGTCAGTGTCTATAGATAAAATAAAAATAAATATTACTCAGTACAAGTACAGATACTTTTCGAGCTCCAAGACTAGACTAGAGATAAATTCAAAAGTTAGGAGGCAGCTGTCATTTGTAAGGAGCACACGGAGCTCCTGGGATTTGTACATCTCTGTTTTAATGTACGATTTTGTTTTTATAAATATATATAAGGAATGCACCGATACCATTTTTGCAAGTACGAGTATTGAAACTTACCCAGGTACTTACAAGTACTGATACATTTTTGTTTATTGCCATGTGACAGTTTTTCTAAAACAATACAGACTAATGATTTCAGGACAGTGGTGGAGTGCCAGAGCCAGGTCCCAGCTGCAACCACTGCAACCCTGGTAGTTCTCATGAAAATGCCAAGTATCGGCACTGGTGTCTGTTTAAAATAATAAAAATGACTTTTGAAATGACTTTTATCTGTAAAGCTTCCATGAGATTTTAGTGATTGGTTTTACATGTGACAGTACAAGAGCATTATGAAATGATGTTGCAGATGCCGGTCCATAGTCTGTGCATGGGGACACGTATATAAACTCATGCAACATTTAGTACTTTACTGGCAAATGTTTGTCCTTTGATTATACCTACTAATAAGTGTCTAATATGTTTCTAAGTCCTCAAGGATCTAATAAACATGACTTATTGGGCAATTTTCAAACACTTCGATCACTTGAGTCTCATGATTATGTTAACAGTTAATCCAAGCTATTTTAATATAGCTGAACCAACCGAATGTGCAGCTATATTGGTTATGTGATCGATCCGAGACAGAACATACTTCACAACCAAATATCCAGAGCCGAAGAAAGCAAAGGAAAGGCAAATATACAGTTCACTTTACAAGGGAATTTTCCCTTAGCTTAGTTGATAAGGAAAAGCACTTCAGGCTTCCATCATCCAATCAAGTGCAAGAAAAAATACTGTTTTATTTGTTTTCCTTCCATGTAATTGAGTATTATTTGCCCTACGTGAATTGTCACCTCATTCACTAAACTTAGTGAAAATTCCCTTTTAATGTGAACAGCCTATATGCCTTTAGTAAATCAACCCCAAATAGGCTTCTCTGATGGACAGTGCTGGGGGCTTGGGAACCAAAGAGGAAGTTTAGCTATGAGTAAAAGAAATATGCAAAAAAAGATAACTTCATTCCTCAATGAAAATATGACGGTTCCAGTTGGTTACCTTCAAATTTCTAATTGAAAAAAAAAAAAACCCCATACCAATAAAATTCAAATAATCCCAATGTATGATTGATGTGCAAAAATACTAAATTATTCTCTAGACCCTTGGTTCTCAACTGGTGGGTCGTGACCCCGTGTTGAGTGGGTCGCCGCATGCCTTCCACTTTTCTAGGTGAGAGGCTCCCCTGACTCCCCCTTGTGCAGCACTGTTAGTTCTCCCGCCATTCAAAATATGCTGCTCAGCGCCGATTGTCAGCTTGAGGTGAGATAGGATGGGGCTATGGCTGTGAGGGAGCTCTACCCATACATGTATTGCTTACAGCTCCCTCACATGTCCTGTAGAGGTGCCTGGACTAGAGTGAGGTCACATTCTGGCTACTGGCACCTCTACAGGGTGTGCAAGGGAGCTGTAGACGCAATGCACATATGGTGTCCTAGCACTGCAGCCTACACAGGACCCCAGGCTGAGGATCCACTCCAAAGGGAGACTGGGTGGATCTTAAAAAAAAAAAAAAATAATAATTTTGGGCGTGTGTATGAATGGTCTATAAGTGTTTTTGAGGGACTGTTCAAACTAGTACAGTGCGCTAAACTGTACTACGCAATTGCACTTATCATGCATTCATTTGGATGGCACCCCAAATGCACCTCCCACCCACAGTTCCTACGCTCGCACCGGAAACTCGCGGTACACTAATGCCGTGCGTTCCATTGCAGTGCGACTTGGGTCACGACTTAATGACCAAGGACAAATGTGGGTCCTGAGGTTACACAGGTTGAGAACCACTGCTCTAGACCATTCTTGCGAAAACCAGAAAAAAGGACCTTCCAACACTCCAGTTCTGGCGTCTACAACATACAGTAATCACAACAAAACAAAATGCTTATAGCTCTGTTGCTGTTTGGGACTACAACAGAACTCTAGAATGCTAGATTTACTAATATAGTGTAAAAACTGCAATAATACTCAAAGCTAAAAACAAGTTATACCCAATCCCATCCCAAATTTTGTTTATTACCATTTCACAATTTTTAAAAACATGTATCCAGTTACAACAACCTCCCCAATAAAACAACCACCACATAGGGACCCCATGATATAAGAGGCCATACTTTCTACATCCCTATGTGGTGGTTGTTTTATTGGGGGGGGGGGGGGTTTGTTGAACCTGGGTACATGGTTTTTAAAAATTGTGAGTAATAAATAACATTGGGATGGGATTGGGCATAACTTGTTTTTGTGTTGGACAATGATTGCAGTTTTTATACTATATTAGTAAATCTAGAGTTCTATATCTGAATGAGTTCAGTTGTTGTCCCAAACAGCAGCATGGCTATAAGCATTTTCTCTGCTGTGAGTGCTCTAAACCATTAAGATTCAACACTCCTCCTGAAGGAGTTAATAATCTAAAATCCTTTCCACTGTCATACTCCGGCTGGGCATAAGCCGGGTAAGCTATCAGTATGTTTTTGAATTGTGGGAGGAAACAAGAAATCAACAATGACATGAAGACGAACATATAAAGTGTATATAAAAGCTAACAAGAAGCTTCTCTTATTAGCTTCCTTTTCATCTGGTCATCTGGTAAGTATACGATTGGAAGTGTTTTCTTGTAGCTGCATGACAAACATAAAAAATTGTATGTGTATTGTAGCCCCAGATATTATTATTTCATCCAGAGATGAATGGAAATAGCCTCAGATACCTCTAATAGGGGGGGGGGGGGGGGGGGTTCGGGGGGGGGGGGTGTGGGGGGATGTTGCACACTTCAACTCTCCTACACTAATTTCAAAGCCTTGCACAGTGAAACCTATCTTCTTTTTCCTTCTCCTATTCATCCCATTCTCCCCATTCACCCACCCTTACCATTCTCCCCACCTTTCCATTCTCCCCACCTTTCCATTCTCCCATCCATCTCATTATCACATCCATCCCATTCTCCCATCCTTTCCATTCACCCATCCTTTCCATTCTCCCATCCTTTCCATTCTCCCATCCTTTCCATTCACCCATCCTTTCCATTCACCCATCCATCTGATTCTCCCATCCTTCCCATTCTTCCCATTCTCCAATCCTTCCCATTCTCCCGTCCTTTCCATTCTCCCATCCATCTAATTATCACATCCATCCCATTCTCCCATCCTTCCCATTCTCCTGTCCTTCCCTTTCTCCCATCCTTCCCATTCTCCCATCCTTTCCATTCTCCCATCCTTTCCATTCTCCTATCCTTCCCATTCTCCCATCCTTTCCATTCTCCCGTCCTTTCCATTCTCCCGTCCTTTCCATTCTCCCGTCCTTTCCATTGTCCCATCCTTTCCATTCTCCCGTGCTTTCCATTCTCCCGTCCTTTCCATTCTTCCATCCTTTCCATTCTCCCGTGCTTTCCATTCTCCCATCCTTTCCATTCTGGGCCACTTCCCTTTCTATTTTTCTTTGTTCACCAGGAGCCTTAAAAACAAGCAGCAATAGTGCCCACCCCTCTATTTTATATATAGAAATATCCACACAAGTAGTATGGGATTTCAGAGGGCCCTCATTGCACATATATTCTTCACAACATCTTAAAATAATAAAGCTTTATTAAGATACACATGATTAAAAATCTCTAATAAAAAACATATAAAACAATTGCATATTCCTCCAAATCACACCTCCTACATCCACTGTATGTTATATCCAATTTTGTACATTAGTGCATAATCCAGTGTTCAGCAATAACACCACATGTATAGATAACTTAACATCAATTGTTTTGACCAGTAGTAAGCTTTCTTCCCCAATGCGTTTAGCGGAGAGCTTCTTCAGGGGATAAGATGATAATATTTGTGGGGTGTTTATGGTCAGTAGAGAATACTCAGCGCAGAGATGGGAGGAAATCAACACCCCCCACTCCCCTATTCACTGAATAGGCTTGGCGGGACCAGCGGGAGAGAGGGTTTAAGGGGACTAAACGGAATCTCACACTGTGGTATGTCAATCTCCCATCTTCTGTTGATAGGATAAGTCCCCAAACGGTACAACAATATCCCTCCCATAGATCAATGGGAGCACATGTCCCAATTGCCTGAGTCCAGAGACCAACTACACACAGATCTCCTTCCAACAAAAAATGCTGACATCCAGCACATCACATCTAACCGCTCAGCCTTGTGTCCCAAATACGTCTTCCCGTACATTGATCTCGTATGATGTATGGATACAGCCACTGTCTCCAAGTCTGTTTTTTGTAGCATTTGTATTGTCACATAAAAGACAAGACACTGCAGGACATAACTTTATTATATTGTATCATTTCAATGAACTATTGTTTATATCAGTGGTTCTCAACCTGTGTAACCTCAGGACCCGCATTTGTCCTTAGACATTAAGTGGCAACCCAAGTCGCACTGCAATGGAATACACGGCATTGCGGTACCGTGCATTCCGGCGCGGGCGGTCCTCAGCTTGGGGTCCAGTGCTGGGCTGCTGTGCTGTGACGGAGCTTCATCTATACATGCATTGCTTGTTCAACTCCCTTGTGCTCCCTGTAGAGATGTCGGGAGCCAGGATGTGACATCACTCCAGTCGAGGCACTTCCACAGGTCACATGAGGGAGCTAAAAGCAATGCATGTATGGATGGAGCTCCCTCGTGGCCATAGCTCCAGCCCACCACACCCCACCTCAAGATGACACTTGGCGCCAGGCAGCATATTCTGGCTGCTCAGCACAAGAACTGATATTGCTACGCTAGGGGGAGGCTCTCACATGGAAAAGGGGAAGGCACGCGGTGACCCACTGAAAACAAGGTCACGACCCACCAGTTGAGAACCAAGGGTTTATATCACTGGTTGTAATCCTGATGATTGTACAGCATAATGTATTTCAGCTAAATACCTCATATTGCCACATCTGTAAAGTACTGTTCCAGTAAATGACTGTTTTGTTATAGTTGTGTCCCCTTCTAAAAAATCAATAGAGATATTGAAACAGAAGGAGATTTGTTATAAATGTTCAGTGAGTGCAAGTAAAACATTCCTGTGGCTTTTGTCAGAAACCTTCGCTGATGGAGAGGGAGGGTATTCTGTAGACATGTGCGATTAGTTTCGTTCCGAATTGAAATTCGGACGAATTTTCGTAAATTCGGATGTATCCGAATTCCGAATTACAGACATAACGAATGCAAACGAATCCGAATTTCCATTTCCGAAATTCGGTAGCGTTCGCACGAACGTTCGTTTCGTTTTCTGTTCTTATTCGTTTCTTATTCGTTTCGTTCGTTGGAGCAAAGTGACATTAGAGGAGTAAAATATTTTTTCCCCCTCAAATGTCACTTTTGCTGCAAACGAACGAAACGAATAAGAAACGAATAAGAAACGAAAACGAAACGAACGTTCGTACTAACGCTACCGAATTTCGTCCGAATTTGAATTGACTTTCACACCCGAATCCTGAAAGACGAAATAACACAAATCCGAATTTAAAACGAAACAAATTTTTTGGCAGTGCACATGTCTAGTATTCTGTAGTCCTCTCCTAGGCTGACAACGCTGCTTTTTCTTTTCATACATACAGAACAGGGAGTGAGCATTGTCTCCACAGGACAGGAAATGTGTTAGTGGCTGGAAAATAGCCTTAAAAAGGCAACTGATGCAGCCACCGCAATTTAGGACTGGCAAGCTGCAATATATTCCATGAGAATAATATATATGTTTGCTGTTTTTTATTTCCGTTTAGTTGGATGAAAGTATCTCATCACAGCCCTTATCACAAGAAAAATCTGTACTGAACTCCTTTTTAAGAACTCTGCTGCATGGGAGGACATCACGCAGCTCCTTCCACTTCCAACCACAAAGGTAACATCCATGTGACTTTGGGTCCCAGTGTATCTGTGTCTTTACCATGGATGGCCAACTCATAGCAATAGCCCCCGTGCTGTGTGAGCTGAGGACATCTTCTTGGATGCCAATGTCAGGAAGCCAGCCTCAAGTCTGTTTTTCTGTTATTAAGACTATCAGCAAGACAGAAAGCCATGGGGAACCAAACAGGGCCATTGCCAATAACCTTCAATCAAATGTCATTTTTATACTTCCCATGCAGGTTAAATCCTTTAGCCTTTAGAGATCAGAGCATCATAGGTTACAAAGTACCCATGACTCAGAACGTGTTTCCCATACCCAAAAAAGGGTTCATGAAGAACTCCGTCATCTCTATACACTGTTACTGCTATTACAAGAGATAGAACAATGTCAGAAAATAGCATCAAAACAACCACATGCTGCTCCCACGGAAAGGGCAAGAAAATCGAATATGTAAAAACCAGCCACATTTTTTTTAATTCACAAGTTGTTATGACCAAATAAATGTAAAACACTGTAATGTAAAAGCTGATTCATTGTAAAGGAAAATCACATGCCCCCCAAAGTGTAAAGCCCCCATCACATTTCTGGGGGGCACTGAGGTGTGTTAAAGTGCATTGTGTTAAGGCAGCCCATTGAATATGATTGGTCACTCAATGCACAGCCAAAACATGAATTTTGGACATGACCCTTTTTAAACAGGACCTGTGTGCATTGTGGTGCAGTGCAAAGTGGGTGCATTCCCCACCACTATAACGTATAGTACGCTGGGGTGCCATTCAAAATGACACTACGGTGTGTAGGAACATGTAGTAAAAGGTGAATGTTATTGTGTGTTACTAGAAGGCATACATGTCATAGGCCCTGGAAGATCTGGTAAGTACATTTACAATCACAAACAGCAGAAACTGCATACAGCATATACAATCCAATTACACAGACTGGAAGATGAAACCTATCAATTGTTTTAGAAGAACAGCCATGCTTTCCGCCAGTCTTCATTAATCAGCCCCCAATGACTATTGAAAGATTAGTTTAATTTACATTATTAATGGATTTTACTGAGGATCAGGGATGATGTTTCTTTATCTGTCTGACTTCCCAAGTAATAACTGACTGATTCATACTCTTCCATTCAAAGTCTGTCAAACTGCAATTGTATGTGACCAGCAGTAGTGAGAACATAGAAATATACTTCTTACACTGAGACTCTAATTTAATACACATGTAAACCCTAAATGTAAGAATGTAACATATTGCAGCTTACCAACCCTTAGATGTGGTAGCTGCATCCATTTTCTTTG